TACATACTATTTCTGTTTCTATTATATTTGGGATATCTGTATTTTGTGTTTCAATCATTGCGCTTATATTGTATTTGTTCTCTTTGTTTGTTCGATTGTTGACGCATGTTTTTTTGGCCTTATTTTAGTTTGTAGGTCACTGTGGAGAATGTTTTCAACTTTTCTTTAGTTCGTAGTAGCAGTAATATCTAGAAGTTTTTCCTGCGATGATTAATGAGGGGGAAATCTACTTTCATATGATTTGATTTTTCATTTTTCTTGTATAGTGTTGAACTTCGATGTTGATGTTGATTTGTTGTACACAAACTCTAGGGTAAACTGGTAAAGAAGAGAGTAAATAGAATTGGGCGTGGAAATAACAGAATAGAAATACATGAAAATAAAACATTTTTCATATATATAAATTCATTTAGAAGAAAGTAAAGAGGTCTCATAGACGTGTCAAACTTTCACCAACATGGTCTTTTTTGTAGACGATGAACGTTGGGGGTTCACTGTTCAAAAGTTCGAAAACACATGTATTGTCCATTTGTAGTTCTTTTTCTCTAAAAAAATTTGCCCAGCCTATAGTCATACGTCTTATTAGACCATTTGGTCGCAAATTTGTGGCGAGCTCCCAGTCGTGATTTAAAGAATCATGGATTTGAACACTTCACAGACCACTTGGTAGGTGATATCTAGAGAACTGTCTTGGTATACCTTGGAAAACCATGAATGAATAAATTATTGATTTTTGAATCAAATTTATGTGGAAGAGATGAATGTAGAATGAGATATTAAAAATGACACTTACAATTTCTCGATGGCTGTTGTGATGAGGTGTTAGTGTTATTTCAAATGCAGGATTCTCTGTATGTGAAGCGTTGTATTCTTCGGGAACATCGGAGTCATATGTGACCTCTAATCTAGAATGGTCAAATATGGTCATATTGAATGTGGAGTTTTCGTTATATTCAAATACCAAAATATGAGCATCCTATAAGTTATGATGGTCAAAAAATTGTTCTCATCCATAAGCAAAATATATTCTTCCATTATCTCTTTCCAATCGCATTGTGACAATTATACCATCATATGCAGTTACTCGTACAGTGTCACCAAGTTGGTGTCTCCAATCGTTGACAAAGGATCTGGGAAGCATCTATACATATACATTAAAAAGTATAAGAGAGATATTAAGAATGTATCCATTCAAATGTGAAAGGAGAAACTGTTGTGTGACTAGCCAGACGGGTATTATGGTTTTGTGGAGGAGTAATGATTCTGAAAAAACGATGTGACACCTCCATTCTGTCTCAATCTAGTACAATGAAAATTTTGTTAGAATAACTCTATTATTTACGTTGTGGAGGCCCTAATATAGATTTTAAGGTAGATTTTGCAATATAGGCGATTCAGAAAATTTGTTAATGGAAGTTCCATGTCTGTAAGATAAACTTCGTATGTGATTTAAAAAATATATATATTCTATATGTCATTGTAGAACAATATCATGAAGTTTGGTAAGAAATTCATGATTTGTGTTCGATTTTTAATAGAAGAATTGAAGATTGACATTTAGTCAATCTCAATAAACAAGATGTAAGTTAAAATTGCAAAATTTAGGTTGTAGAAATGGACAATATGTTACCAAAAAAGTCTAATCTTACTCTTCCCAAAAATAAAAGTGAGGAGAAAAAAATTATTGAAGTATCACGTAGTGACTATTTTATCTTAACACGTTTCACACATTATTTAATTGCAATCAAAAGGTTACGATTGGAAATGTAATTAATATGTAATATGTATATTATTTATCTACATTTCTACTCATTTGAAGGATTTATATAATATTTGTATATACATAAAAAATGATTTATATTTTATGTATTTATTTTAGGAATCACATCTATTAAAAAAACTAAATTGATTAAATGAAATTAAATTTTGATGCTGAGAGTCGGTAAAGAAAAAAGAAAAGGGAAAAAATGAAATTTGTTAGCCTCCGTAATTACTACAGAGGCTCACATTGAGCCTCCGTAATTATGGAGGCAATTTGTGCCTCCGTAGTGCTACGGAGGCTCAACTTTGAGCCTCCCTAATTATGGAGGCATTATTTTTTTCTCCATCTTTTTCTCTTAGCTGTTATTACAACAAATAGTTCAATATTATTTTTGTTTTGTTTTGTCAAACATAATTTTATACTTTTATATGAAGTTATATTTTAGTTTAAACAGGAGTTTCTTATTTTGTATGGAATTTAACTAATAGTCGGACTTTCTTAACGTTATTTTTAAAATTTTGCAATTTCTATTTATGTGATGATAAAAATTTATAATATATAATATAGAAATAGAAAAATGAATAAGTATATTTAGTTTTTTTTTCCTTCCAACTACAATACTTAAGTGAGTATAATTTATTCATTTTTCTGTCTATGTTATTTTCATTTTACCTTTTGAACGAAAACGTCGTTGTTTTCCTTTCGTTCGTGCAAGCACCTTTTCTTTGTCCTTATTTTAATTATTGTCCTTATTTTCATCGTATTTTTCACATCCCTCCCATCCTTTTGTTTTCTCCCTGTCTTCAATTGCATGTATATTTTGTTCCGCGATATTTTGTTCAACGATAGACCTGTTGTTGTTGGTGGGTTTATTTTTTTTGATATATTTTCTATTATTCGGGTCATGGAAGTGTATGCATTTTTTTGGCTTCTTTTATATGAGGATATTGTTTTCAACGTGCATACTCTTAGTTATGTTTCCAATTTTATTGAGTTGATTTTTGTGGTTTCTTTCTTTCAACAATACAATGAGTAAGTAATATTGGACACCTACATCTATACAACTTCAAGTTTTTAAATCTCTATTTAATCAAGAGAATAAAACTCCAAACAAGTCAACTATCGTTGCATGGGCAAATCTCTAATATGAATGTTTATAATTGGTTTAAGAGTAGACGTGTTCGTTTAAGAAGGTTGGACTTATCCACACAAGCACACGATTCTGAAATTGTAATTCAGCCAAGGGTACAGAAAGAAAAATTGCGTAAGAGACATATATGTATGATTTGTTGTTTAAATATGATTTCTTGTTGGTTTAATATTTTTTACGTAATTTTAACATAAACTTTTGGTATTATAGAAATATTTACAAGTTCTACACATATGCCAGGAAGAATGACGAGATGTTGTCCTAAATTTACAGCAGGTTTCGTAAATTGAATATATTTTTTAATAATTTTTTTTTGCATCCGACTATTTATTTGGTCATGTTGTAGTACACTTCCTTTCATCTTGTTTTTGTGAAATTATTTTTTAATCCAATTTTTGCACTTCTGTTGTCTTTTAGCGATCTTATACTAATTTTATGATTGTAGATTCTATTGATCAGTATGTCAAATTACAGAAGAATCTTCATGTTGATGAAAACATTGGCATGGAAAATCAATTTGAAGATGACAATATGCAATCTCAATGTGGTTCACATGTTCCTATCATTTTAGATTGTTCTAAGAGAATTGATATACGAAATATTCCAGTTGAACCTTATATTCTTCCCTTTTGTACAATTTGTAAACATTGTGGTGCAAAAAAATTTTACAAAGAAAGTAAGGGTTTTTGTTGCTGTGATGGAAAAGTTAAATTACAGCTGAACAGTGTTCCCCCTGAATTGTATGAACTATTTACTTCTACTTCATGTGAAGCAATTGCTTTTAAAAAAGTTGCTCATACTTACAATAACCATTTTGCATTCACTTCATTTGGTGTTAAATATGATAAAAATTTATGCAAAAATAATAGAAGTGTATATACGTTCAAAGTTCATGGATAGGTATACCATTTTATAAATCCACTTCTACCAATTAATGGAAATCCTATATATTTGCAGTTATACTTTTATGATACTTATAATGAAATTAGTAATAGACTACAAATTTCAGATAAGTTAAGTGAATCAACTTTGAAAAAGTTAATAGATATCTTAAAGATAAATCCATATTGTCGTTTCTTTCGATCATTAAGTGAAGTTTCTGATTTTAATTCATACTGTATCGTACTAAGGTCTGATCCAGGTCTCGACCAGAGAGTATATAACATGCCATCATGTGAACAGGTGGCTGCAGTGTAGGTTGATGATGATCCATTTACAAGCATAAAGACTCGTGATATATTAATTTATGGACATTTCAATACTGTACATAGAGTAAATTACTATTATGGCTGTTATGATCCACTTCAATATCCATTAATATTTACCTATGGAGAACCTGGATGGCATGAAGGTATCGAAAAGGTAAATTTGAATACTTCAATAGTCCATGAAGATTTCATACAAATCAATCACATTGATTCGGCTGAACAACTTAAAAAGATGGAAGATCGTGGTAAGTTTTATTACCATTGAAGTTTTTAAATCTTTTTAGAGTGCATAAATGTATTGTCATTTCTAGATCTGTCTTTGTGACTTTAATATTTTTTCCTTTCAGCTATGAAGAGAGGTAAGAAATGAATTACTGTGTCATGCCGTGAATATTATTGCTACAAACTTCATATCAGACTTTCAGATAAGTCTGTACTCCTTCATATAGGCAGACTTCTACAACATTATATAGTGGATATGTATGTTAAGATTGAAACTGCGAGATTAGATTATTTTCGTAATAATCAAAAGACTATACGAGGTGAACTTTACCAAGGAATTTTAGATAGTATACAAAATGGTGAGAATAGAGGTTATAAAATTGGTAAATCAATTGTATTGCCTACAGGGTTTATTAGGGGTCCTAGAAATTTAACTAAAAGATATATGGATGCAATGTGTTTAGTTCAAAGATATGGAAAACCTGATGTTTAACAATGACATGCAATCCAAATTGGCCTGAAATTAAACAAGAATTGAGACACAATGATAGTATACAAAATAGGCCTGATTTGTTAGCCCCGAATATTTCGAGCAAAACTTGAAGAACTAAAAACAGATTTAATAAAGAGAGAAATTCTAGGGTCTATAGCTGCCTATATGTATGTAATTGAATTTCAAAAAAGAGGTCTACCTCATGTTCATTTTCTCCTAATATTTAAAACGAATTTTAAGATTACTAATTCTACGCAAGTTGACGAAATTGTTTCTTTTGAAATACCAGATCCAAAGAGAAATCCTCACATGCATGCTACTGTGATCAAACATATGTTGCATGGTCCTTGTGGACAATTAAATCCTACAAATGTGTGCATGGAAAATAACCATACTTGTAAAAACAAGTATCCAAGAGAATACATTTTGCATACTTCATTAGGTAGTAATTCATATCCACTTTATAGGCGTCGTGACGATAGTGTTACTGTTGAGGTCAGAGGGTCTGTACTAGACAATAAATGGGTTGTACCATATAATCCTTATATTTTAGCTAAGTATGATTGTCACATTAATGTTGAAATATGTTCTTCTGTAGTCAAATATTTATACAAATATGTATACAAAAGACATGATCGTGTTAACTTTACGGTGAATAAAGAAACTAATGAGTATTATGTTGATGAGATTTCGAATTATCAAATTGCTAGATGGATATCTACACCGGAAGCTATATGGAGAATTTTTAGTTTTGATTTATTCGACATATCTCCTTCTATAGTTTCTTTGCAGTTACATATTGAAGATGCTCAGTTGGTTACATATAATGAAACAAATGATTTATCAGAAGTTAGAAATAAAGATTCCATTCAACGAACAATGTTAACTGAATTTTTTAGAATGAATATTTCAAATGAAAACGCACGAACTTTACTTTATAAAGATTTTCCTACATACTTTGTATGGAATACATATTCGAGTTTGGAGTCCTAGAAAGAAGCAAAATGTTATTGGTAGAATAGTTGTTGCTAATCTATTTGAGGGCGAGAGATACTTTCTAAGAGTTTTATTGAATCATGTTAAAGGGCCTAAGTCTTTTCAAGATTTAAGAACAGCTAATAACATTATTATACTTATTTATCGCGAAGCTGTATTTTTACATGGTCTAATAGGTGGGAATAATTATTGTGAAATATGTTTAAATGAGGCGATCACCTATGAAATGCCTATATCATTGCATCGCGTCTTTGCTAATGTGTTAATTTTTTGTAGCCCTGCAAATCCTAGAGATTTATGGGTTAAATTTAAAGTGTACATGATAGAAGATTTTTTACATGCAAGCATGACAGTATGTGATGCCGATATTAGGGTTTTGAGATGGATAAATTCATTCTTGAAAGTTTTTGGTATAAACATAAATGATTTTGGTCTGGTAGATTTTGACGTAATTGTGAATGATGCTGATGTGTTAGCAGACATGATTTTAGAAGAGACTACAAATATTAATGTTTAGTGTGACATGCATTTTACAGATAATTTAAATAAGGAACAACAATCTGCCTATAATGTTATTTAAGACTGTGTTGTAAATAATAAAAATGGAGTTTTTTTTATTGATGGTCCAGGAGGTATTGGAAAAACTTTTCTGTACAAGGCATTACTTGCTGCAGTACGATATCGACAACTTATTACATTAACAACAGTGTCATCGGGAGTGGCTGTTTCTTTATTGCCGGCTGGGCGAACTGGTCATTCACGTTTTAAAATCCCATTTCAAGTAAGTTCTGATATGCGATATTCAGTAAGTAAACAATCATCACTTGGTCAACTTTTACAAATGACAAAGTTAATTGTGTGGGATGAAGCACCGATGATTAATAGATGTGCTTTTGAAGTTTTGGATAAAATATTAAAAGATATTACTGAATGTGAATTGCCATTTGGTGGAAAGGTTGTTGTGTTCGGAGGAGATTTTCGACAAGTGTTGCCAGTAGTACAAAGAGGAACAAAAGATGATATCATGAAGGCCAGTTTAGTTTTTTTTCAGATTTATAACAATATTTTATACAACTACCATTGACTGAGAATACGAGAGCTAAATTAGATAGTTTGTTCTGTGAATATTTACTTAGAATTGAGAATGGAATCGAAAGAGAACATACATGTCACATGATTAAGCTTCCTTCAAATATAATAATAGATTTTGAGAGTGAATTTGAATCATTGAAAAAACTAATTGCTATTGTGTTTCTTAATTTTCACACATATGGTGACAATTTGAATACTATGATGAACAGAGTTATCTTGACTCCAAAAAATGAACATGTGGATGTAATAAATATTATGTTAGTTAAAGAAATTCCAGGAGAGATATTTACATATTTTAGTTTTGATGAAGTAATTGATAAAACAGAAGAATTTATTCATGAGGACTTTTTGAATAGTCTAACTCCAAATGGTATCCCTCCACATGAACTTGTACTAAAGAGAAACTGTCATGTTATGTTGTTTAGAAACATTAATCCTTTAGAAGGATTGTGTAATGGGACTAGACTTATTTGTCAAGAATTTAAACAAAATGTTATTTTAGCCGAAATTGGAATAGGAGAATATCGTGGAAAACAAGTATTTTTACCTAGAATTCCATTTATTCCACTTGAAGGAAATAAGTATTCGGTACCATTTAAGAGAACTCAATTTCCCATTCGTCCTTGTTTTGCAATGACCATTAACAAAGCTCAAGGTCAAACTTTAGATTTTGTTGGACTATATTTGCCAGAACCTGTTTTCTCGCATGGTCAATTATATGTCACTTTATCTAGAGCAAGAACAAGAGAAAACATGGAAGTTCTAATAAAGCCAATGGATGAAATAAAATCACACAATTGTTGCACAAAAAATGTAGTCTACCTTGAAATTTTGAATTTGATACATACTATTTAAGAAGTCTATAATTACAAGTTTTGCTTAATTGGACTGCCAATCTATTGTTAGCCTAAAAGAGGATATTTTCTCTGCTAATTCATCTCGTGTCAAGGAGAATAACATTGAGCTATACAAAGTTAGTTATTTTTACATGTTATTATGTGTTTCAATTATACTTTACTTGTTAGTACGAAACATGGTGCATATAAAAAGGTCGGGTCATTATCTTTAAACATGTCTTTCATAATATTCCATGTTCAACACATCTTTATTTATTTGGGTCAGTGATAAAATACGAAAAGAAAGGATAAAAACACAAGTTTATTACATAATATTTCAATCAGCATATTCTGATTATCTACTACAATTAGGACTTACGGGGATGAAGAAAGTATTCGTTATTACAGATGTCTACAGCAATCTTTCGTCTATATATGCTCATCCTATGCGACGAAACTGATTCAATTGTATATCCCAAAACAAAGCATTCTATATATTTGAGTACAAAAATTCCACAATTAGGCCTGTGGAAGAAATAGTTTAGTGTTAGAATAAATGACTAAGTTTAGGAAATTAAATATTTTGCTAAAAAACAAGTCACTTAAATGCTTACCCATTGTTTGCACTGTTTAGGTGAGGTATAATATCATGTTCCATTTGTTTATTCCTATGTTTCCTTACATCTCCTATAGAAGAAAAAGTTGTTTTCAATAGTGCTTCTACCACAGTCAATGAAGTTTTTGCATGTGCTTTTACTTGATTCGGTGTGTGGACGTTATTACTGTAATCATATATTTGAAATTTTCATTCAAGAATATTGACAACGAAAATGTACCAGCTATTGTCCGGATATGAGCATGGAATTAATATATACTTGCATCTCATCCAAGGACGACCAAATATAGGTGCTTTGTCATTCATATAATTTTGCGTAAGAGCTCCATCTGATTCACTTCTAGTGGTTCCCATTCCTGTGTCAGTATGCTATATCATTTGACGAGCACATTCTGCTTCAAATTTGAAATCCATAATTACATATTCTTTTGAAACAAGCGGACAACCATCATTCATGAGTCGCCTCAATAATTTTAACTCTAACTTAATGTTCTGATAAAATAAATAGATATAAATTAGATTATAAATATTGACTATGAAATAAAATCTATTGTAATTCATAGACTTTACTTACAGCAATATTTATGTCCTGTGTTTGATTCATTTGAGTTTTCAACATGTCTCTTGCAAAGACATTGTTACTGCCATCGTCCAAATATACACTGTATGACATAATTTTAATTAATTTCAAATAAATCAAAAGAGAACTTGAAGATTTGAGCTAATACAAGTAAAATTAGATTTATTATCCAAATTTATTCTCCGCTATAAAATTCCTAATTTTTATGTATCTTTGCATATGATAGTCTTCCAGAGGACGATCTGAAGATGATGAAGACTGTATTTGTTTTCCCTTGTTTTTCTTCTCTTTTATCGACCTTTTAGAGCTCTCAATTTGTTCAGCTGTTGATATCTCATTTGGTTTATCGCAAGGAACAATACTTGTATCAAGAGGGACATCTTGTTGCATGGGACTTATGATGGCTTCCATGTTTGATTTCCATTCAGATAATGTGTTCAGTGTTTCCTGAATTTGTTCATTGACATAGGATCTCATTGAACTTAAACTGGTATCAATATAAGATTGCATACCCTGATATCTATCTTCCTGCCACTTCTATTGCTGTTCGAAAAATTGCCTTTGGTTGTCAAGAATTATCTGATAATGATGTTATATGTAATCTTCTTGCCATTTTTTTTGCTTCTCAAATAACTGTTTTTGGTTTTCAAGAACTCCATGGTAGTGAGCTCTTGATTCATCAGCAAATTCTGCCTTCAAGTTGCTATATACATCAAAAACGTCTGATGCTATGTGTTGCCTGTAGATACCCAACAATTCTTTCATTTTATCTTCACTTAAGGAGTTGGAGCCATTGGGAACAGAGCTAGACCCAAATACAGGTGAAGATGTAGAAGTATCGGGAATCGTCGTTTCTTGCACATATATATTGTTTGGGATTTGTTCTACTGCATTATCCAATACTCCATGTACAATCCCATCTAATTTGCTGTGTCCATTATCCACTGGCAATGAAAGAGTTCCACCAAAGACTTTGTAATTCTTCTTCATTAGGCTGTAGCACAGCAATCACTTGAATCTATAATTTAATTGAAATATCAAAATCGTTTATTTTGAATTTAATTTTATTTTAAGATAATTGAATGTGAGAGTAATTGTACATTCATAAAAACATACATTACGAGTAGACAAAAAAAGCTTTATCTCTTTTTCAGTTACAAATTGGTTGGGTTTTCACTTGTATATTCTTGGACACTGTGGCTTTTTATGTCTACAATGTCCAAATTTCTTTCCGATCTTTGGAAATGTTTCATATATCCAATACCGCAAAATAATTAAAAATAAATATTATATGTATAAAAAATTTTTATGGAAATATATTGTACATAATAAGTTAATACAAGAATAGGGACTAATTACCTGGAATGCAAGTGGATACCCATGTAACGCATGCTTGCATTCTGTTTGTTCATTCTGTTGCATCCTTTGTATTCTTTTAGATTGATGCTTTCAATGAATATAACAAGATCAAATATGCTTTGCGATCCCATGGATATGCAAGGAACTCATCCAGATGCTCAATCGTACCAAGAGTTCTATAATCAATTTGTCTTGAAGTGGGTGTCAACACACATTTGACCAACATGACTAAGCCAAGCTTCAATTTATCTTCTTCATATTCGCATGCATGGAATGCTTCATAAAGCATCTTCATACTGATTCGACATGTACCATTAAAGTATTGATTTCTAAGATGATCATTTGTATCATTAATGTCCATGGATGGTTCATGGCAAGGTAATCAAATAATAAGACAAAATTCTTGCATACCAAATCTGGCTACACCATCGTCTAACCTTACCCAAATTTCATCATTTTTCTCACAATTCACAAGCCTTAATATAAATTCATACACCAATCTACTATAAAATTGTACATTTTTTCCTTTGTAGAAAGTTCTATAAAGAAATCCATAAAAATTATTACACATCAACGAAAATTGCTCATTCGAATCTAAAAATTGTACAAAGTCTCTAAGATATTCGAAATTTGGATACGGGACAATTGTAGCAGAAAACCATTAATTCGGAGAAATTATATATTCTAGAGATATCTGCATAAATTATTCCAAAAATCACATCTAAAAATTAAAAATAGAGAAACATTTTTTAAGAGTTCCAAATAAATATTATATCTTTATAACCTATACATGCATAAATATTTTAAAATTGATAATAAAATATCTTATCTTCATGTCTAGACAATTCAAACAATTCATGACATGAAATTATGCCTCGCCTTAGCCTCGCCTCTGTGATTATGGAGACTTGGCCTCCATAATCACAGAGGCCTTGACCTCTATAATCACGGAGGCAAGGAGGCCAAGCCTCCGAATTACAGAGGCCAGCAGCTTGGCCTCCGTATGATGGAGGCCTCAGCAAGGCCTCCGTGATTACGGAGGCAAGCCTCCATCATACGAAGGCCTTGTTGTGGCCTTTGTAATAATGGAGACCCATTAAGGCTTGGGTCTCCATAATCACGGAGTTCTTATGGGTAAAATTGTTACCCATACACAGATCTGTGCAGATATATGCAAGTTTCTTTGAATGTAAATTTTAAGTAAAATTGTTACCTTTTCCGACCAATTTTAGAGCTTCTCCTGTTTAAATCTGTGGGGAGTTTCTCTTGAGAATCTAGAGATTTTTGGAACTAAAAGTATAATAAATGAGCATAAACCAACCACAAGATAAAAGGCTGTCACATATGAGCTGTATATTATTGTTGTTTTATGCATTTGGTCAATAATCAATGAAGTTTTTTTGTTGTGTTATGAAATACAAACTATTCACACCTTTTATAGAATCTCAAATCTACGTCTTTGTTTGAATTCTTTAATTTCATATACAAAATCATACATCAACATATTCACGTGTATTTAGATATTTATTACAATTCAATTTATTTAAGCTAAATAAATAACTGAATCAAATTTTCCTTCCATTACAATGAAGGTTTGTAGT